AACTCACAGAACCGGGGTCTGTCTACACCATATTCTGGAAGGGTAAGCCTGCTGCGGAGAAAAACCACATTTATAGAGTTGGGTTTTCCATCCACCAACGCATCCTACACAGGCTAACTGAAATGCCTATTGGGATCAACGAGCTCCTCCTGACACTCCGAGTCCCACTGAATCACTCACGTCATGCTTCCTTCATCAATTCATATGCCCCAACACTGGATGCAGAGGATGACACCAAGGAATCCTTTTATGCCGACTTCGAGAGAGTGCTAACCTCTGTCCCCAGAGAAGTTAAGGTTGTGCTCCTTGGTGACTTTATTGCCACAGTTGGCAGAGATCTAACATTTGGCAGGGAACCATATGGAGAAATGGACGGCAAGTGCAATTCTAACGGCCTACTCCTCCTCAGCAAGTGTGCTGCACACGACCTCACTATCACCAATACCTTGTTTAGGCAGGCCGACAAGTTCAAGGATTCATGGCAACACCCACGATCCAAACACTGGCATCTCATTGACTACATCATTGTCAGAGGAAGAGATCGCCGAGATGTCCTTTTCACCCGTGCCATGAGTGGCTCAGACCACTGAGACACTGATCATCGGCTCGTCAGAGCCAAGCTCACACTTCACGTCGCCCCAAAACGGCAAAGTCAGCAAGCCTGCAGAAGAGGCTTTAAAACTAAGCATCTGGGGGATCCAGCAGTCGCACACGTTTTCAGAGAGCAGCTCGAACATAGGCTGATAAACAACCCAACAACAAACAACTCAAATCCCAGTGCCGAATGGGATATTCTCGACACTGTCATGACAAAAACCTGCAGAGACCCTCGGCTGGATCTGAAGAATACACCCGTACTGGTTTAATGAAACTGACCTGGCAATGAGTGTACTCGTAGATGATAATCGTGCTGCTTTAACTGACTGACAGAACAACCCTCAGTCTCTCACCAAAACTGATTCCTTCCGAAAGAAGAAAGTGGCAGACCAGCAGGAACTTCGTAATCTAAAGAACGACTGATTTAGAAATAAAGCAATTGAAACACAAAAATTTGCAGATCAACACAAGGAGTTGCGAAATTTTCAATTCAACTAAAACATTTTATTGGCCAATCACTCGTGGAGCAGCCCCTCTCTGCTCTTCCGCTCATGATTAAAGATGATGAAGGCCTCCTTCAGCACTGGAAAGAGCACTATCATTCACTGCTCAGCCGAAACACCGATGTGGATGTCCTGACTACCCAGCAGGTGCCTCAGCATCCAGAACTGACCCACCTCTGCTTACCAGCCGTCTCCACTCTCTCCTGGAGAATATATGGGAAAGGGAGGAAATCCCCCAAGCTCTTAAAGACGCCTCCGTCATTAATATTTATAAGAACAAGGTAGCCTGGTCAGACTGTGGTAACTACTGCGGGCTCTCGCTGCTGTCCATAGCTGGCAAGATTATCGCTCGAGTTCTCCTAAACAGACTTCTTCCTGAGGCAGAAAACTTCCTCCCAGAATCTCAATGTGGCTTTAGACCATCACGTGGCACCAATGACATGATCTTTGCTGCCCACTAGATACAGGAGAAGTGCAGAGAACAGTGTCGTGACCTGTACATGGCTTTCGTCGACCTAACCAAGGCATTCGACTTGGTGAACAGGGAAGTCCTCTGGAGGACCCTCAGCTGTTTTGACTGCCCACCATCGTGAGGCAACTCCACGATGGCATGATCGGCAGTGTCCTGCACAATGGCACCCGATCTGAGTTCTTCCCCATCCAAATGGGGCTTAAACATGGGTGTGTACTGTAACCAACTCTCTTTTCCATCTTCTTGACTGCCTTCCTTCCGGCCTTCCGGCGGGGTGGACATCCAGTACCGGATGAAGGGTCTTTTTAAATGCAAGACGACTCCAGGCAAGAACAAAGGGGTCGGTAGCTTCTAGTATAGGAGATTCTGAACACTACACAGATGCTTATGCACACTTCGGCCTTGAGGTGAATGTACATAAGACTCAGATTCTCTTTCAGCCTGCCCTTGGTTCAGGCACACCTCCACCATCCATCCAGCGTAACGGTACTACCCTCTCTAATGTTACCCACTTTCGGTATCTCGGCTTCTACCTGTCCACCACCGCGGACATCGATGAAGAGATTCAGCATCGGATCAGATGTGCATCTCAAGCCTTTGTCAGACTCTGAAACCGTGTCTTCAGCTGTAGGGAGCTGAAATTATCTACAAAGTTACATGTATATCGAGCAGTGATCCTCCCTACCCTGCTATATGGCAGCGAGACATGGGTCACATACAGGAGGCATCTCAAGGCAAGGTAGGTAGATACCAGGTAGCCTCACTTTCGTAAGCTCTACGCTAATGAAAATAAATTTGAAATTTTTATTTATGTATTTTTGAAGGCTTATGATGGTATTAAGAGTTGTACAATAAATGTATGGAATGGAGATTTTTTGTTTTATTTTAATTGGAGCCACAGATTAAATATATAAAATAAATATAAATATCTTTCTTGTGACGCTTGCGACCGCTGGATTCAATTCAACGTCGCTGATTGGCTAGCGATGACATCACTTATTAAGCTCCGCCCACGTCGTTACATCAAACAGTAGAAGCGGGATATTGACAAGTGAAAGTGGAGTGTTTTTCTTTTATAACAATGATTTATTGCGCTGTAGCCACCTGCTAGTATATTTTGATTAGAGAAAGAATCTATGCAGATAATAATAATACCACAATATTACAAACGCATGAAGTGACAAAAGGGACGTGGTTTAGCGATTTCGAGAGTAGAGTTGCCAATTAGTGATTTCCTATGGGCCTGCGTGAGGCTACCTGGTATCTACCTACCTTGTCTCAATGCACTTGAAAACTTTCACCAATGTAGTCTACGTTCCATCCTCCGAGTTCGCTGGGAAAACAAGAGAACAAATGCCAGAAGTCTTGCTGACACCATCTGTAGAAGCATCGAGGCCACCCATATCCATGAACAACTACGCTGGACTGGCCATGTAATCAGCATTGACGACAGCAGACTGCCAAAGCAGCTACTTTACAGTCACCTAACGAATAGTAAACGTAATGCTGGCGGGCAACTGAAGAGGTATAAGGATAGTCTTAAGACAAACCTGAATAAAGTACCAAATCGAGCCCCTCACATGAGAGACGATTACTCCATACCGTAAAGCTTGGAGGAGCACCATACAGGAAGGGGTCAATACTTTCGAGTTAGATCGACTGCATAACGAGGCAGACAAGCACCAACGCCGGAAAGACGCTGCCGCCGCCCCTCCCTCACTATATGTAGCCCCCCACATAAGTAACTTCTGTGATCGACCCTACCAGTCCCGCATCGGCCTCTTTAGTCCCCTGAGAACTCACCAACCTAGGTGAGATCCTTAATATCTCATATCATTGTATCATAGCTTGATGATCGTCATACTCGATTCCGAGTGACGGCAAAGCAGTAGTAGTATTCCAAGGCTCAGTACTTGTACCATCACTATTTATTATACGTATACATAAAGGACATAGATATAGGCGTAGACAGCAACATAAGTAAATGTACTTACAACACTAAAATAGGGCGTGTAATTAAATCTGACGAAGACTTCGCCAAAACTACATGAAGATCCAAACAAAGACAATAATGGGTGTTTGCTCGACACAAGGCTAACAAAATACTTGGGCTCATACAAAGGAGTCTTAGTTACAAGACTGGCAAGTTTATCCAAATCTATATCTTGCATTTGTGAAACCTCATTTGGATTATGCAGTTCAGTTTTGGTCACTGTACTACAGAATGGATATCGAATCCCTACAAAGCGTCCTTAGGATGACAAGTCTAATTCCCGGCATTAGGAATCTTGAGTGTAGAGACATTTTAAAGCATCTGAATTTGCACTCCCTCGAGAGAAGTTGAGTGAAGTGCGTTATGACTGAGGTGTACGAATGGAAGTCATGGTTAAACAAAGGTGATATAACAAAGGTACTCAAACTATCCAAGCAGTAACTAGCTCGTTCCAATGGTTTTAGATTAGACAAATTTAGATTTAGGCGCAAGATAGGTAAACACTGGTTTGGAAATTGAGTAGTGGATGAATTGAACAAGTTATCAAACATCATCATTAATTATTAACTCGCTGGGTACGGGTAGCTTTAAATATAGATTGGACGGCTATGTGAGCGATGGGGGTCGGATTGGGTGTAAACGGGACTGCCAGTATGAGCTATTAGGCTCGCTGCAGTTACCTCCATTCTCAGTTCCTATGTCTTTCAAGTTAGGTTAGGTTAGTAGTAAGTAACTTTAGGTTAAGTGGATGGATGGGTGGAGAAGGCTTGGGTAGATTAAGTTAGGCTGTGTATTTGGATGAGGTTGTCTTGTAGGCTAGGTTAGGTGAAGTGGACATAGCATAGCATCGAAGTCGAGGGGATTACATCATATTAGTCATCGTAATCAAAGGGGTTAAATCATCGTACGCAACCTAACCAAAACTATCCTAAGCTAACCTTAACTGACTTAACCTAATTTTAACGGACCTAATCTAACATAACTTAAATAAACCTAACCTAACCTTAACTACACCAAACTTGGCTAACTTAACCAACAGAAGGTGTTGTTATAATGTTATCACTGTACTTCAACAATGAAGGTAAATAATACACCAGTCGAACAACAATAAAAAAAGATAACATGGATAAAATTGTCGTCCAGTATTAGTAATGTGTCAGAGTGGGTATGTGTGGGTTCACCTGAAGATTAGACACCCCAACTTATATCACATGAAGATTGGACACCCCAGCTTCTTAAACCTAAAGATTAATCACCCTAACAAGACTTATAGGCAGATCAGGTTAGGTTAAGTTTAGAAAGTTACGTAAGGGTGTTTCATCATTAGGTAAACTAATCTGGGGTATGTAATCTACAAGTGTTCACATTTTTTTACACCTCTAGTGCAGTGAGCACAGGGATCACTTCACCACCTCCTCAGGTTACACACACCTACCTGAACAAGGGCCACAGACGCTCCAGGTTGTCCCGGCGCGGGTGTTGGTGGCAGCTTGGAGAGGGCGTTGATCATGGTGGCGAAGGCGCAGTTGACGGGAGCGGCGAGGCTGGGCTTGAGGTCTGGGGGGAGGTGGATGATAGGGGTACCAGGGAGACACAACACGTGGGTGGAGTAAGTCCCGAAGAGCGACGCTGAGGACATGAGCGTGTGGCCGAACTGTTGGAGGAAGACCACGGCAAGTTGTTAAAGGCATCAAGGAAGCAGCAGGATACGTACATGACCAGAAAGTATTTTGGCAACGTGATTTTTTTTTTTTTGGCGGGGGGGATATGATGTACTGGTGATGGTGGATGGTTATGGAAATCTAAGAAGTCGTGTTGTGCGACGACTGCACCGCAACAAACACACACGATAAAGAAGTTATAGAGAGAGAATTAACAAGGAATTATAGGAGTCTCAGTGTTATGTTAGTCTTGCTTCAGGCCGCCCTATGCTAGAGTGAGAGAGAGGATAGCAGGAGTGAAAGCAAATCGAGTTTGTATGTAAGTTAATGCTACAGTATTATATAACCTACATTGTGTATATTATATTTTGATATTTAGTTAAGTTTATAAGAAATAACCTCAAAAGTGTAAAAAAAAATTCCACATAAAGAAAATAAGAATTAATATATGGAACTCTTCTGACATACCGGTTTATCTTAAATTACATTATTAATACTCAAACATAAGTGGCATGTATAATCCTGTATATTCTAATAGTGCTGGTATATTATCGTCCAATATACCAGGCTTGATGAGAAACAGTAAATCTAGGGTGTGCATATACCAGGTGTTTGTTTCTCACACTCGTATACGTTAAGTAATATACTGTACGTCCTGTCAAGGCAAACATATAAAGGTTATTTGTGGTTGCGTATGTTTGTTTTAATGTAAAGTTATGTTTTAATGGGTTTATTTTGTGTGTGTGTGTGTGTGTGTGTGTGTGTGTGTGTGTGTGTGTGTGTGTGTGTCACGCCAAATAGGGATACTCGCCGAATAAGCTTAAAAAGGTTCCTGACATTTTTGTCACAAAAGAATAACTCCTTCCTGTTATTGCTACAACTTATGGAAAGTAATTCGTATATGTTAGAATATTATCTCCTTCATTTGAGACGTTGCTTGTCATCATAAGTTGCATTAGGAACAAAGGCGATATAACAAAGGTACTCAAACTATCTAGCCAGGAGGAAACTCGTAGCAATGGTCTTAAATTAGACATATTTAGATTTATGCGCCTGATAGGTAAAACTTGGTTTGAAAATAGAGTAGTGGACGAGTGGAACAAGTTACCCAACTTCATCTTTAACTCGAACACGCTGGATAGCTTTAAACATAGGTTGGATGGATATATGAGCGCTAGGGGTTGGGTGTAAACGGGACTGCTCAGTATGGGCCATTATTCCCGCTGCAGTTTCCTCTATGCTTATATTCTTCAGGTTAGGGTAGGTCAGATTAGGACAGGTAAAGTTAGGTTAGGTGTGGTTAGATTTTCTATAAACTCTTAATTTCTATGTATTTTGATGATCTATATGATCGTCTTTGGTAAGTCAAAATTACCTAACAAGAAATGAATAGAAGATATCCCTATTTGGCAATTATCCCTATTAAATGTGACATTGTATGTATGAATGTATGTATGTGTATGTATGTATGTATGTATGTATGTATGTATGTATGTATGTATGTATGTATGTATGTATGTAACCCACCTTCAGGAGAGACGAGCACTTGTTCTGCAGGTGTAGTGAGCAAGGTAGACACTTGTTACAGTAAGCACAGATGCCCCAGGTCACGCGGTCACCTGGTTTGACCCCCTCTCTCTGTGACGTCACCACCACCCCGCACCCCTCGTGACCTAGCACACTGTCAGGGTATAAGGGGTCACCTCTTACTCATAGGTCAAAGGTCAGTGGTCATGGACATTATATTTATAAATTTAATGTCTACTGGAGAAAAATTATTAAAAATAAATTTTAAGTTTTTGTGTCAGATCATAATTATATTTTTTCAAAGCCCAAATTGTATATTTTTTTACAATTTGGGCTTTTGCCGGGGTACATTATAAAAATAACAATCCCTATAATTCAAAAATGCCTAAAACTCACTAAAATCAGAAAATCCCTAAAGAACAGCAAAATTCATGAAAAATCCCTAAAATACAAAAAAAATCGAATAAATTCCCAAAAACTCTCTTAAATCCCCAAATCTCTAAAATTCAGGTAGTGAGCTTTATTACATCAGTGTTTTAAAGGTTAACGACGGTAAAAAGCTTTGTTCAGTTGACCTTTATTGATAATTAATTAGGGATGACGGTCAGTTATATGATGATGATGCCAGGAGAGATGGATGATGGGATTAGTTAGTTAGGTCGACTGGTAGAGAGACATAGCCATGGGTAGATAGATAGATACATAGATAGATAGATAGATAGATATAAAATAACATAGATGGGCAGATAGATAGACATGGATAAATAAATATAGATAGAGAGTTAGACATAGAAAGGCAAACATAGATGGAGTGAAAGAAATGGATATGTATATGTATGTTGTATCAGGTATGTAGGTCCATATGTTTGTATGTGTGTATGTATGTATGTATGTATGTAATAATAATAATAATAATAATAATAATAATAATAATAAACGGTTTATTGAAAAAGTTCTGCAGCCCGAAGGCTGAAAATATACATTGGACATAAATGACTTATTACATACATTGGTGGTTTAACAAAAGCCTTCATTCGAGAAAGGAAAAGGAACATACAGTGAACATACAGATTAATGTAGGTGTTGAACAGCAAACACGTAGTGTAGCAATTCCCTCCCAGATAGTGTTAGGAGGAACCTCACGTGGTGTAGTAGTTCTCTCACAGATGGTGTTATGAGGAACCTGACGTGGTGTAGTAATTCCCTCACAGATGGTGTTATGAGGGACCTCACGTGGTGTAGTAATTCCCTCACAGATGGTGTTATGAGGGACCTCACGTGGTGTAGTAATTCCCTCACAGATGGTGTTATGAGGGCCCTCACGTGGTGTAGTAACTTCCTCACAGATGGTGTTATGAGGAGCATCACGTGGTGCACGAATTCCCTCACAGATGGTGTTATGAGGGACCTCACGTGGTGTAGTAATTCCCTCACAGATGGTGTTATATGAGTGAGGTGTGGTCCCAGGCCTTACTGTCGTAGACGGATTAACACATCGCTGGTTGTTGTTGGGTCTCACGGGCAGTTATCACTGGGTACCTGGGACCTCACTGTGTGAAGGTTTACTTGGGTACGACTCGGCTGTTATTGTTGAGTTGTTCTCATTGACTTAAACACTGTTCACCACTGTTCACCTCTGTTCAACACTGGTTCCATTCCTTTCCTAAATAAAATTGTAACTTCTGGCGAGAACTTGTTGATATGCCGATGGGGAGGAGTGTTCAGGGGAGGGAGTTGGTATGGGCCAACTTAACAGTTGACCTGGCTGCTCCCAGAGGAGCGCCAGGTACGTCTTGACTCTTCGGTGGTCAAGGATGTATGTATGTATGTATGTATGTATGTATGTATGTATGTATGTATGTTATCTGCTGTTAACAATTCCTTTATATTGTTATATTGTCCAACACCTGACAAAGTACCGCGCCACCCAAACTACCATCAGGGTAGTGTTCTGACCTCACTAGGGGAAAGGCCACGGCAGGGTTAGCTCCCGAGGGATAATTATCAGATATGGCCAGCGCTATGTGTGGTCTGGGGTCTGCGAGTTTGTTGGCCAAGCTGGAGTGGACCATGGAAGAATTGAAGAGGGCCAAGGAAGAAATAGAGAGGGCCACGTTGGAGAACCTGAAATTAAAAGAAGAGATGGCGACGATGAAGGAGGAGGCGGGAAGGGGAAAGCCAGTGTCTGACGAAAATTCAAGCGAGTGGAAGGTTGTAAGGAGAGGGAAGACCAAACTGGTGATGAAGAAACACACCAAGGATACGTCAACAACGACATCAGCAGCTAAGTGTACCAACTCCTTCAGTCCCTTGATAGACGAATTGGACGTTAGTACAGTCAGGGACAGGGCTGACAAGGAAGGTATAAAAACTTTAATTGTTGGTGACTCACAGGTAAGGTACTTGGACAGGGCTTTTTGTGGTAAAAACATAAATAGGATGAGGGTGTGTTTGCCAGGAGCTGGGGTGGGGGATATAATTGACAGGATGGACAATATCTTGTCTGGTAATGGGAACAAACCCATTATCTGCCTCAGTGCAGGAGGCAATGATATTGGCCGGTGTAGGAGCGAGGAGCTTCTTGATAAGTTCAAGGCAGCTATAGATCGTATTAGGACTAAGGGAGGGATCCCTATCATATGCTGTGTCCTGCCTAGAAGGAGAGTTGGCAGTGAATGGTTGTCAAGGGCAGTTGGTGTCAACGACCATCTTGACAGATATTGCAAGTCAATATCAGTCCCATTCATTGACAACTGGGACAACTTCTACGGCAGAAGGGACCTTTATGCTAGGGATGGGGTGCACCTGTCTAGGGATGGAGTAGCAACCCTGGCTGGGTCTCTAGAGGGGACAGTTCAAAAGATATCGAAGTCTTTAAACTGCTAGGAGAACATATGAGCACGGGGGTGGAGGAGAATGCAGTGGGAGCGGGTAAACAAAGTGAAAGATTACAGGGAAATAGTGTTAGGAATGATGACAAAACTAAATTAGACAGGGCGTTTAAAACTAAACGCGGTAAGGGAAGGACTCAGAACACGACTAACTTAAATGTCTACTACGCGAACAGTAGAAGTATGAGAAACAAAATGGATGATATTAGGGCCTTGGTATGTACCGAAAAAATCGATATAATAGCATTCACTGAAACATGGATCAACCTAGACTCACGTGAGTTACCTGTCGAATACCAAATTGCGGGTTACAAATTGTTCCATACCGATAGGCCGTCCAGGAAAGGAGGCGGAGTAGCAATCTATGTAGGGATAATCTGAAGTGTGAAATAAATAAGGAAATAAAAACTGAGCGGAATACAGAAACAATTTGGATAGAATTAATCGGACGGTAGGGAAAAATTAATCATAGGAGTAATATATAGACCTCCCAATCTTGATAGAGTTAATGAGCGACTTATCTGGGATGAAATGCGCAGGGCTTCCATACACAACAAAGTCTGTATAGTAGGCGACTTTAACCTTGACCAAATAGATTGGACTGACCTTACGGGAAACTCAGAATCAGGATTTTCTCGAGACGATCCAGGACTGTTTCCTAAGTCAACTATCGCATCAGGCTTCCGAGCGGTCGCTTGTATTGGCGTAACCGCCGATTCCTGCGTCCTTACCATGTGCCATCCCCTACACCAACACCTACAGCGCACGTCGGCACTGTTGCTGATGTTCCCATAATGCCCGCATCATCAGTTTCTCCCTGCCACCTGTTTCGTCTCCCAGGAGAAGCAAACGCCACTGCAGATGTTCTTACTGACTGGATTTATGAGTCCTCGATTTTACCTCGGACGCCCCCAGGTGGGGGGAGATGGAGAGTGTTCAGTTGGCTAGGTGTATATGTATAAGGCCTACGTATGTTGTATCAGTTATGTAAGTCCATATGTATGTGGCGACCTGTGGTGTAATGGTCAGCATTCTTGCCTCGCAAGCGAGCGGATCCTGGTTCAATCCTCGGGCAGGGTGAAGCTATGGGCAAATTTCTTTATGCCATTTGCCTCTGTCTACCCAGCAATAATTGGGAACCTGGATGTTAATCGATTTGCGGATCGTATTCTGGGGTAATGGTTAGCCCGTGCAGTTAGCGAGTTGTCCGGTCTTCTTGGATTATTC